CAGACAAAAATATTTGATCTACCTTTGTGATAAAAATCGAGGTTGTAGTGGATTAGGTGGTCGACAGCAGGGTGTAACTTACGCCTTCATTAATGCGATTCAGATGGATAGAAGGTTCGGAATCATCATGTCTTCACCTTGTGATGTTCGACAATTTTTTATTCCAAATGAATACAACTGGATTATTCCTGAAAGTAACCTGTTCGGGAAACCATACAAAGTCATCGAGAGAGGGACTGTTTTATCGTTAAACGAAACGACCGAGGTGATTTATTTACTAACTGGTTCTAAACGTTTTGTTAGCATGTATCGCCAAATCCAGCATAAATTACCCCCTTATCTAAAAGGTGGGACGAAAGTAGGCCAAATTTTAAAACTAATTTGGGAATATTTGATGAAACCATCACACTACGTGATCAACCATTTAAAAACGCTAGCTTTGCCAGAAAATTTGACTTGTGCGCATGTCCGGATCGGGAGAAGTAAAAATTTACCCAACGATGCACCTAGGAATAATTTAACGAGCGTGCCAAAACTTTGGGATTTTATGGAAAAATATGACAAAGTCAATACAATATTTGTCGCAACTGACAATATCGAAGTTAGAGATTCAGCACGACGGCGATTCACAAAGCGTTATTTTGATTCCGGGGGTAAGATCGTACACATTGACAGAAAGGGTGCAGACTGCCTTGGGTTCGAAACTTCTGTAATTGATCAAATCATACTGTCAAAGTGTAGTGTTCTAATTACGTCAGGTAGTAGTTTCAGTATGATGGCCGCCTATATCAGAAATAATTCGAAAGATCTTTATAGATTTGACAGAACAGGTATAAAGCCTTTTAAATTGCCATGAGAAGCAGCTCAAAGCATTGGTGGACTGAGGGGTCGGGGATCGGGGGGGGGGGGGGGGTGTTGAGGCAATGTATCATAATACTTTTACAAATGTATTCTAATTTTATGGAATATTTGTTACAGTGAGAAAAAGGAACAAGTTGAAAGAGCTTAGTTCCTTTTTCTCACAACCAGTTGAGTATCCCAGGAAACTCATTGGGTCGAGGGTTCAGATTGATGTTTTAAACCAGTGTTTCTCATCCTCAGGGAAAACATTCCTCTCCCTAAACTATTCATTTCCAAAATAAATCATTTTAAAACGTATATCAATCGAAATATGCCTTCCACGATTAACCCTAAATGGATATAATTTAGAGTGTTTCTTGCATAAGAACATTGAAAATTCGAATAATGCTGTAAACAAAGTCATTTTGAAAAACATATCAATTTAAGTACATATTTTGTGTTGATTGGGAAGAAGTATATATATATCAAGTAATATAATGTCACGATAGCCCACAATCTTGTAAAAGGAACGAGTTGAATGCATTCAGCACTATTTTCAGACTGGCATTTCTATATCGCATTACAATTGATGTATTGAGCACTATTTTAACAGTGGTATTTCTATATCATTCTATAATTGAGGCATTGAGCACTATTTTAACAGTGGTATTTCTATATCACTCTACAATTGATGTATTGAGCACTATTTTAACAGTGATATTTCTATATCACTCTACAATTGAGGCATTGAGCACTATTTTAACAGTGATATTTCTATATCGCTCTACAATTGATGTATTGAGCACTATTTTAACAGTGGTTTTCTATATCTCTCTACAATAATTGATGCAATGAGCACTATTTTAACAGTGGTATTTCTATATCGCTCTACAATTGATGTATTGAGCACTATTTTATCAGAGGTATTTCAATAATGTTCTACGATTGATGTATTGAGCACTATTTTAACAATGGTATTTCTATATTGCTCTACAATTGATGTATTGAGCACTATTTTAACAGTAGTATTTCTATAATGCTCTACAATTGATGTATTGAGCACTATTTTAACAATGGTATTTCTATATTGCTCTGCAATTGATGTATTGAGCACTATTTTAACAGTGGTATTTCTATATCACTCTACAATTGATGTATTGAGCACTATTTTAACAGTGGTATTTCTATATCACTCTACAATTGATGTATTGAGCACTATTTTAACAATGGTATTTCTATATTGCTCTACAATTGATGTATTGAGCACTAGTTTAACAGTGGTATTTCTATATTACTCTACAATTGATGTATTGAGCACTAGTTTAACAGTGGTATTTCTATATTGCTCTACAATTAATTCATTGAGCACTATTTTGACAGTGAAATATTATTGTATATCATTGAAAAAGTATCTTTATTATAATTTACTTTAAAAATAATATTTTATTGTCACCTTGTGTAAATAAAGCCTAAGAATTTATAGTGTTTTGTGTGTATTTCGATTCATATTATGTCAATAACTTAGGTCTTGTATTGGATCAAATGGAAGAAAGCTAGAAAATAATTATTCAACAGAATTTAAGATGAATTTACACCAACGGAAACACTATTCATTTGAAATTGGAAGGAAATAAAGGTAAGTAATTTTTTCATAAACTGAGGGAATTCAACAATAAATTAGACAACAAAATTATATTTTCTACTCTATCGATAATCCCCCATCATACACCGCACCGGACACTGTATATCGACTATTCGCGACTTAAGTCACTTTATAATTTTATCTCAAGGGAGAAAGTGTATCTTTGTACCTTACATAGTTTCCAGAATCAGATCACTTAGTTGGTAAAACAAAGTTTTAATTTAAAACATACAACTGATACCAAGTCAATACAGGAATAATTGTAAGCCAACTTAACAATAAAAATATCAACTATCTTATACTATAATTCACGATTGAAGAGCTAGAATATAATTTGTTAAAAAATAAAGAATGAATACATATTTCCTCTTGATTTCAATCAATACAATATATATTTAGTCAAACCACAACCAATTACAACGTTTTTCAATTAATTTTCTCGAAAGGATTGTAAAGAGATTTTCTAAATTAAATCGGAAACACTGCGTCAATTTACAACATTTCAATTTTCAAAAAGATTGAGATTGAGGTAGATGTGATGCTTTCTGATATGTTTTAAAAATAGTGTATAAAAACGACTAGTCATGTAATGAAAGTGTTTACCTTTTAATAATTTAATGTAAGTCGTGCCAAAAAATAAAAATACAAGTTTACCTAGACAGACGTAATGAGTATACTATATATATACAATAGAATTATTATCAACTTCGTTCACTGAAGACTTAATTAAGTCTATTTATAGTACAGACTGCAATAAACATAACTGATTAGATACATAGATACCTTACTAAAACCTGAATATCGATTAAATTTACCTTCTATATAATGCATATTAACATTATGAAAATAATGATTTCAGACTAAAGAATGTTTTTGATATTGTTATTTCTGTAATTTTATTTCAGACTGAAGAATGTTGTAATATTGTTTTTTCTATAATTTTAGACTGAAGGATATTTTTAATATTGTTATTTCTATAATTTCAGACTGAAGGATGTTTTTAATATTGTTATTACTATAATTTCAGACTGAAGAATGTTTTTAATATTGTTATTCTATAATTTCAGACTGAAGGATGTTTTTAATATTGTTATTTCTATAATTTCAGACTGAAGGATGTTTTTAATATTGTTATTTCTATAATTTCAGACTGAAGGATGTTTTTAATATTGTTATATCTATAATTTAAGACTGAAGGATGTTTTTAATATTGTTATTTCTATAATTTCAGACTGAAGGATGTTTTTGATATTGTTATTTCTATATTTCAGACTGAAGAATGTCTTTAATATTGTTATATCTATGATTTCAGACTGAACGATGTTTTTAATATTGTTATGTCTATAATTTTAGACTGAAGATGTTTTTAATGTTGTTATTTCTATAATTTCAGACTGAAGAATGTTCTTAATATTGTTATTTCTATAATTTTAGACTGAAGGATATTTTTAATATTGTTATTTCTATAATTTCAGACTGAAGGATGTTTTTAATATTGTTATATCTATAATTTCAGATTGAAGGATATTTTTAATATTGTTATTTCTATAATTTCAGACTGAAGGATGTTTTTAATATTGTTATTTCTATAATTTCAGACTGAAGAATGTTGTAATATTATTATTTCTATAATTTCAGACTGAAAGATATTTTTAATATTGTTATTTCTATAATTTCAGACTGAAGGATATTTTTAATATTGTTATTTCTATAATTTTCTGACTGAAGAATGGTTTTTAATATTGTTATTACTATAATTTCAGACTGAAGGATATTTTTAATATTGTTATTTCTATAATTTCAGACTGAAGAATGTTTTTAATATTGTTATTTCTATAATTTCAGACTGAAGAATGTTTTTAATATTGTTATTTCTATAATGTCAGACTGAAGAATGTTTTTAATATTGTTATTTCTATAATTTCACATATTCTGGGTAGAGGAGCAGCTAGTTGTTTGGTGGTTGGTGTAACTTCTTTATCTGAGGTGGTTGACTTGAGGGAAATGCGGATAATCGAGTTGGTTATCTGGGTGGGATAGTCATTGTTGCTAGTGAACACATCTTTCAAATGGTTAATTTCGTCATTAAGGAATTCCGGGTCACAAATGGATCTGGCTCTGCGGGTAAGGGTAGAGATTATGCAGGATTTGGTTTGTGCAGGGTGGTTGGAGTTAGCATGTATGTACTGGTCGGTGGCCCTCACAGTCCCTACTCGATGTTCACCCGTCGTGTTTATTTCCAGACCCTCGCTGTCCCGACTCGATGTTTACTTGTAACAATAAACAATGTATTAACATGTTGTTTTACTGTGATTTTACTAATCATTGTTCAGATAGTTCTGACGAGCTTTACTGTGGTAAGCAACCGTTTAATTATTATCAATACAAACAGAACAGGCAAAATATCATACAAAAATCGACAGCCTATAGAAATTTTACACTTTTGAGACATGGCAGATTAGACGCAGGAGTAAGAAGAGTTGTGCTGTTCTGTGAATTCACAGAACATTTCCAAGTGCTACTGACAGGATTTCATAGAGGTCGATTTAAGTAATATGTCAAGAATGTTTGACTGCTTTATCTCTGTGCTTTTACTATGTTGTGTTGTTGCAAAAAGTAATTTTTCGCGCAAATATAGTTTTTTTTTCTCCACCAAATCTTTTACGGATTCTGTTTCGACACTGGCAATGTTGCTATTAATCAGTCGTGGATCACCAGCCTGTAGTGGGAATGCTGAGGGAATAGGCCAAGTAAGTTCTCCCAAACTCTTTAAAATATTTAAGAATATAAGAATATAATTTTGGTTCTTTGATAGGAACAGCACTCCATATGTTCTTCCTCTTTGAATATAGTCTTTGATACCTGAAAAATAACAACACGTAAAACATAAAATGATATTGTACAGCGTGTCCATTATAACTAATATTCTACAATTTCATCTGCTTAGGGTAAATGAGCAAGAAGCAAATCATGAATACAACATACAATCAGAATGTAACTGGCTATATGTTATCAAATACATGTCAGATAAAATCATACACCTTCTATAAACTGCCTTTATTATCTACTCCTTGGGGTCTGTCTTTATGTTTTTGGTAGTCAATGACTGCAAGTTGATTTCTGGCTGTATACACTGGATACCTGTAAGATATTATTCATATTGCTGATAAATTGATATACCAAGCACTAATTTTGCAGAATGAAATATACAATAAAGTCTTCGGGCTTTATGCAAGATGTGTTGAAATTTATTCCTTCTTAATTCAAATTTCTGGCCCATGAATTGAAATCCCAGGATATGTGCAACCTATTAGGCTTTAGCATCACATGATATTTTGTTACTTTTGTTGTTTTTGAGACTTACCCATAAGAAATCTTTTGGCTGCATACATCAATAAGTGCTGGTGGAAATTGTCACCAGTATGTCTGAAAATATAAAAAGTTATTCAAAGTTGAGAGACAACTATCCTTAACTGACTTGGAAATGACAAGATCTTTCGAGTCCATTTATTTATTTATCTATTAGATTAAGCATACTTTCAGCCAGTCGACCTTCATCATAAAACATGAAAACATACCGAAAATTAACGTAGTGTTTCAAAGTGTGTATGAATATTGTATCTACCACTGCTTTTGTTGAAGTTTTGTGAGCATCAGTATCCGGTTCCAACAATTTCTTGTTAATGTCTGTCAACCCACCATGCTCACATTCTGGTACAACAGCGGACTCTTTTAATAACTTTTGGTGTATATTTATTGTATGGTGTAATACACCCCTCCATCTATCCTGCATTAAAAATATTACAAATAAACCTACAGATGAATATCTAAAATGAAATGATGACTGATGATCTGTGAAAAAAAATTGTATTACAGTTTGAGTCTACCCTGTAAGTTTTTTAGAGTAAATTATATTCCATTTTGGAGTTATAACTTATATCAATATGATATAGATTAAAGCACAAATATCAAATATTGTTTACAAGCCAAGCACTTTCATCACCTTCTGCTTTCCTGCTTGAAAACCAAACATTGTTGATGATATCTGGGATTCATGGTCTCAATTCAGCATTTCTTGATTCTTGGGCCAACTGTTAGAAATTAGGAACAAAGTATTAGAATACAAATAAAAATGCAAATTAATAAATAATCTATAAATTTTCACAACTGAACAGCATCAATCGAGAACTATGAGATTATCGACAGATTTGAGAAAAATATCGTGGAATTTTGGCTCAGGTAATGACTTACGGCTGTGAGCTTTTTGTCAAAATTCTTTGCACTAATAAACAAAAAAAAAGAACACAAATAAGTTTCTGAGGCAAAACAAAAATATCTACAAACTACAGAAATAACTCATCCAATGCCATTATCAAACCCTTCTTTTCCATATTTCAGATTTCAGATCTGCCATTCGTTTGTCAGCTATCTTACAGGCCAGTATATCCTTAGTAGAATCTTCCATCACTGTGTAAGTACAGTACATAGCACAGTGACCAGAGTTGTCTTTTCTTCCATCACCAAAAGATACAAACAAAATGTGTCTACCTCATTTTGGTCCATAATACAATTTTTGATGTATTCCATAGATAAATATCATTCTGAGAGAAGTTTTTGTTCAATACTTAAAACATTCATTCCGAAAGGCATGTCAGGACAAGACATTCAGAAGAAGATGGCCGAAAACTCAAATGACCACAACCTTAATATTCTTACTCTAAAAAATCTACAGCAATAAATATTATGGGATTTGTCAAACAAAGAACAAAACTTTTATGAATAGAATAAAAGTTTAATCTTACGAAATGAAAACCCACTTCAATTCGTTTATTGAAAAAGGCAAATAGTGATGTTCCGATTGTCGGATACTTATAATGGGTGAACCAATGAGTTCACATCACGTTTTGAAGATAAAAGCCGCATTTCATTTTAACTTGCAAACTTAATTAGGATTTTGGCCTCTATTTACAAAGTAAGAATTGTTTTGACATTTGATGCAACCATTTGTGTAAGAATTTGACAATTGGGGCAAACCTAGATTTTTCACATACTCAGCAAACGTGTAGGTGTATGGTAAAAAGCGGAGGTGTATTACCAAAAGTTTAGGTGTGCCGGATAATAACCTATTTTAAAGATCAAAGGATTGAGAAAAGTTATGGGTATAAGAAATATTAAATGCAAAATCATATCACTTATTAAAAAATTTCACAATCCATTCGGTTTATCTCATCTTAGTGTCAGAATTTTTTTTTTTAAGCTGAGCTAATCAGAAGAATTGTTTCGCCTATCGTCAAAATTTGAGCCCTATTACCAGTGAAGATAGAAATTTATATTTTGAGGATTATTTGAAGGTACCTAATGATTTTGAAATAGTTCTGGTAATTTGGAAGAACAATTTGTTTGCTGAGATAATTAAAGTTGAAGACTGTATCGTCATCTATATTTTATATAAATTAAAGTGAAATATTCAACTCCCAGAGCTGAAATGGAAAAAGCCTCTAGTCATTGGGATGGGACAATAAACCGAGGCCCCGTGTGCTACATGCTGTGCACGTTAAAGATCCCTCAACAGTTGAAAATCGAAAAAGTGCAGGCTGTCTTGGCAACATTTCCTTCATTGCACACTGCATGGCTTTGCCCGTCTTCATTAGCCCACATGGTGCAGAAAAGTTGAAGGTAAAACTTTATTCATTTCATTTCATTTCAACTCCCAGAAGACTATTAGTAAAACTAAACACAGTTGAAAAGCATGTTTATTGTATCATTCAAGTGTAACGATTTCAGTCTCCAGTTCTCTAACACTGATAATAATATTATACCTACTGTATATGGTGGTTTGTTTAGTATAGATCCCCTTAGGCGCAATTTTACGTAGTATAGGACATGTTTAAATGTTTTAATTTATAACTTAAATTTCACAACATATATATATAATTATATATATAACGTTTTCAGCATTCACGACATCTTTAGTACAATAACAACGATAATAATATTAAACAGTGACGTCGCCATGGGTTACGTTTCAAGTAAAGGGAATTCAACCTATTTTGATTTTCTAAAACATAACATTGACTTTCAGAAAATTTAAGAAATTCCAAACAATCAATATTATCTCTTCATTCAAAGGTGTAATAGACATAGAAAGAATTAAAAAGAAAGGAATTTTTTCAATTAATTAGAGAAATTGTGACTTACCAATAATCTTAGTAATATTTAAAATTTAAAGAACAGGGCGGGTGTTATTCATTATTTACATTTTCTGCTTAATTCAAATATCTTACCATAGTTTTGATTCCATAGAAACCAAAGTAAAGAATTCCAACAGATTTGAAATATTCTTTTTTTTTCAGATCTGTAGCATTTATAACTCAATTTCATTGTCTAATAACCACAGAAAACCCCCTTCAACGCTCAATAATACTAGTGTATTAAGTGTGGCATGTTCTTGTAATTTGTCTCCATGAACTAAACACAAGGTTGATGTAATAAAAGAGGTGTGACAATGATCATTGAATTCATTAAAAGCAGCACATATTAAAGGGGAACAGTCGCCAATTTCTATGTTTATTTGGGTATTGAATATAATACTAGAAATGTACGGAAACCCCTTTAAATATACCTTAAACTCGAAATTTCATTTTCTATTTCTATAAATATCTCTTCTACATTATGTGACATATTGTCAAGAAAAAACGAGTCGTCATTTTAATGCAGATAATTCTGGACACAAGTGGCTTTTGAAGCTCAAATTTCGGCGTTGAGTTTTGAACTTTAGTTTTACTTTAGAGAAATCCCGTTTCTAAGACGATTGGTCGAACCGATAATGAGCGTGTCCCTTTAAGTTCAGATCGATAGTTATATTTTTCAGTGTTGATTTATAAAAACATGTTTTTGTAACACCAAGAGAGAGCAGCATACAGTTCAGATGGTTTTAGGTTTTAACGTTAAGATGATATAGAATTTTTATATTATATGATTTAAAGATTAACTCTATAAAATATTACAGTAACATTTTTAACATTTTCTTTCTGATTCCGTACGTTTTCAACATCATAGATACTATAGTCCCAAGTAGTGTGATGTCGTGTTGTATGTCATCGTATTCTGTAGATTGAATTGGAATAATTACCGAAGATAACTTTGTTAATATCTGAAATGAAATGAAACGAAATGTTTATCTAAATAAAATAGATGAAAAGTACACAATAAATAATGACTGAAATAAAAGGAAATAAAATAAATTATCTTTGTAGTAAAAATATTTTTGATTTGAGCAATGTCTGTAACTTATATTTGTATCAATCAAAGTTATATTAAGACTCTATTATATAAGCTGATTTGATTTACCAAACAATTTCCAAAGAAAATTGCTATATTTTAAAATATATTTCTAAAAGAAATTGTCTTACCCCATTATCCACTGAGAGGAATATGTTATATTCATTGAGTTCACCTAATATAAAACCATGGGAGTGTAAAGATTGAAGTGATTGAGTTATTCTGATAACTACATCCAATATCATTTTAACATCAATATCTTCTCGTAAATACTCTACTAGAGATACCGAGTCCTGTGGAGAGTCCACATGGAACAACTCCAGTGATCTGATTTCACGGATGAGTTTTCTTGTATCTGACACTGTAAATAAAGTGATAATATTCACGATACGTTGCTACATGTATAAACTCGGTAACAGGCATATAACATCAGGTTTTCATACAGAACAGTCATAGAGTTCTCTCCCATATAGGTCTCACTCAAGATGATACAAAATGTTGATAAACAACATATGCATGCATTAATGGCAACTTGGAATCTTTAAAGCATTGTTCAGTTGAAAAGGCAAGGAGTGACATCAGTTTCTCTGATCTGAGCCCAGAGCTCTTATTTCTACAGTAATTAAGAAGATATATATTATATATAAGAATACCTTCTGATGTTTCTGTTAAACTTCTAGTCAGTTGTCTTCTCAACTGAAATGTAAAGTTTTTGATCTTAATGTATACAGGATAGACATTCGTAGACTTTGATAAATATTCTTTACTTTCAGGGATGCGAGTTGTGTGGGGATTGAGATTGTAACCATGTAAATATTGTCATTTAAAGTTAAATACAGATACCTGGATGACTTTGTCCAAATTCTTTACATACATTTATAGTACGGTACACCTTTGTCTTACCTTTTTTACAAATAGAGAGGGTCGTATAGATGAAGTAGAATATATAATTGGGTTTAAAGCTGAATTCACTGGTAGAATAAAAACTGCTACCCAGGCGTACACATCACCCGGTATAATATGACCTCGTAAAGTCATCAGACCTACAAGATAAAAACCATAGTTGACTAGACATCACCAGGTATAATATGACCTCGTAAAGTCATCAGACCTACAAGATAAAAACAATAGTTGACTAGACATCACCCGGTATAATATGACCTCGTAAAGTCATCAGACCTACAAGATAAAAACAATAGTTGACTAAACATCACCCGGTATAATATGACCTCGTAAAGTCATCAGACCTACAAGATAAAAACAATAGTTGACTAGACATCATCCGGTATAATATGACCTCGTAAAGTCATCAGACCTACAAGATAAAAACAATAGTTGACTACACATCACCCGGTATAATATGACCTCGTAAAGTCATCAGACCTACAAGATAAAAACAATAGTTGACTACACATCACCCGGTATAATATGACCTCGTAAAGTCATCAGACCTACAAGTTACAAACAATAGTTGACTAGACATCACCCGGTATAATATAACTTCGTAAAGTCATCAGACCTACAAGATAAAAACAATAGTTGACTACACATCACCCGGTATAATATGACCTCGTAAAGTCATCAGACCTACAAGATAAAAACAATAGTTGACTAGACATCACCCGGTATAATATGACCTCGTAAAGTCATCAGACCTACAAGATAAAAACAATAGTTGACTACACATCACCCGGTATAATATGACCTCGTACAGTCATCAGACCTACAAGATAAAAACAATAGTTGACTAGACATCACCCGGTATAATATGACCTCGTAAAGTCATCAGACCTACAATATAAAAACAATAGTTGACTAGACATCACTCGGTATAATATGACCTCGTAAAGTCATCAGACCTACAAGATAAAAACAATAGTTGACTACACATCACCCGGTATAATATGACCTCGTACAGTCATCAGACCTACAAGATAAAAACAATAGTTGACTAGACATCACCCGGTATAATATGACCTCGTAAAGTCATCAGACCTACAAAATAAAAACAATAGTTGACTAGACATCACCCGGTATAATATGACCTCGTAAAGTCATCAGACCTACAAGGTAAAAACAATAGTTGACTACACATCACCCGGTATAATATGACCTCGTAAAGTCATCAGACCTACAAGATAAAAACAATAGTTGACTACACATCATCCGGTATAATATGACCTCGTAAAGTCATCAGACCTACAAGATAAAAACAATAGTTGACTAGACATCACCAGGCATAATATGGCCTCGTAAAGAGACAGATTCCCTGAAATCGCGAAAACCTGTTATTTTTACTTTCGCAATTAGTAATTAATTTACGTTATTATTAAAACCAAATTATAAAAATGTTTTAATAAGAATGATATTGATGAAATACGGTTACCGCACTTGATGTTTTATATATCACTAACAACTCACCCATAACACAGATTGGAAACCAACAGAGAAAATCTGACATAACGATAAACGACAACTTTCTAGCCACCGACATATCAACTTTCTGTTCACGACGAACTTTCTGGCCACTTCTCTTAACGGTATGGTAGATGACACCTTGTCCAACAGCCACGACGATAAAACAAACACAATTCCACAGAATAAATACAGCCATTCCGTATTCCCAACCTGGTGCTCGGTTTTTAGTAAGTGGAAGCCCCAGACACACGCCTGTTCTAGAGTAGAATTTACCAGAGAAGTAGTCTAACGGAAATAAAGGAACGGCGGCCATGACAATGCTGAGGATCCAAACTGCTTCGGATGCTAGCCAGGCTGATTTCCGTTTCAATCTGAACACACTGAAGGGGAATTTGATAGCAATGACTCGATCTATTGTGATCAGACAGAGAAACATGACTGAAGCCTCGGTAGAGAATGTCGCCAGAAATCCTGCAATTTGACAGGACATGCTGTTTCTCCAGGATTCGTCATTCCAACTGTATCGTCCACGATAGATCACATCAGCTGTGGCAATCATCAACATATATATCCCCATAATGAAATCCGCGAATCCTAGATTAGCCACTAGCACGCCGTTACTCTTCGCCAAGTCCTTGTCATCCACTAAAATCCGATAAAGCAATACCAACAGGTTCCCCATCAGCGCCACAATCCCTAAAATCCACATAGATATTCTTAGAGTACCGTTCTTCATCAGATCTGAACACGATGAAAATTCGTCAGGATCCGGTAGACATTGCGAATCCGGTACGGACGCTGGTCGGATACAACAGAACGTATAACGGTCCGAATATAGATAGGACAGGTTTGATAAACCGTTAAAAACGTTTCCTCCAAAACTCTGGATGTTGTTCCCGCGCATGTCTAAAATCTGACATCGAGTCAAATCAGAAAGGGCTTGGTCCTGAATAGAAATAAGACTGTTGTGGGAGATGTTCAAACGTTCAAGAGAATCCAGACCATAGAATTGGTTAGATTTTAAACTCTGCAAACCAAGTCCGTAAAGATCTAAAGCTTCTATTTTCACAAGACCGACGAAAGTCATGGGCTCAATCAGCTGTAATTCTAAATTTCCCAGAAGGTTGAGGAATTTTAGATTCTTTAAATCAGTGAAAATTCCATGGTGGAGACTCTGAATTCCATTCCAGCCCAGATCAAGATGAAATAAGTTGTAAAGAGACCGGAACATGTCAGTAGATATAAATCGCAAATCTGTGAAAGAAAGATCGAGAAATCCAAGATGGCTAAACGAACTAAAGGTCAAGTTATCAGCCTCGATGTTTGAATCTTTCAAAACAAGATGGCGCATATCTGGATTCAAACCAGACAGAAATTGCTGAGTGATGTTGATAGAACATTGTATATTGAGACCAGAACAAGAACAACCATCAGGACAAGCTATGTTACAATTCAGTTCGTCATCACCAGCATGACAGTCTGTCACACCGTCACACACGTGACTCCACGGTAAACAAACCTTCATATTATTACATTGGTAATAACCAGGACATCTGTAGTATTCTGAAATGAATAAATGAATAAATGTTGTCAACTCCTACTTACACTTCCAGTCGTTAATTTTGATTAAGTTCAAAAGCATCAGACGTATCTTCAGCAAAAACTTTTCCTAAAGAGAAAATTGCCAGGAAATTTGTGATAGAAATTTATGTAATGTAAAACAATGGCTTATGGGCTTCATTGTGACGTACCACAGTCAACTTCATCATCCTGTTCTGGACAATCCGGTCTACCATCACAGACTTGATTAACAGGTATACAATAACTTCCTCTACATTTGATATAGTCTACAGGACATTCAAACAGTTCTATAACAAAATAAAAACATGGTAACGGTAGGTGGTAGACCTGCCAATTTGAGCAAGACGCTAATTCAATCTATAGACTTTCTGATTTGCGTTTTCTGGTTCGAAATTGGGCAAATATGAAAATAGCACCATCCTGACAGTGAAATATTCAGTCGGTAGAGTTGGATTGTCTACCTGACGATTAGGTACCGTTGGTTCGAATCCTCCTCATGGTATTGATATAAACTATTAGGAGTATGGGAACTAGATGAAAACAGAACTTACCACATTTAGTCAGATGTGACAGATCTCGACAACCCTTGATGACGTCATACTCATTATATTCAAATATACATCTTGTTGCTGACGACGTCACTATTCCTGATTTACACAACAAAATCTCGGTATGGTTCTGTTGTTCTGAAATGTGTGAAAGACATACACGATATAAAAGATCATTTTGAAGATCATAATCCATTACCACAACATGCTATTCTGAGTTGGTACGAAAGACTTGGAATACAGAAACCAAGTACTAACGATCAGAACCGCAAAACGAAACCCGAAATCCAAAACAAGAGTTTAGGGAAAACACTGTAGCACCTTATGAACTTTTCACATAAGGAAGTAGATCAGAAGTGAACAGAAAGACTTCACACTTAAATTATTAAACCTTATTCTTTATAATCATATACATATACTTATGTAGATCATTCGAAAAAAAAGGAACCCTTCAGATTCCCACTGAGTGTAACCCTCTGTCATCCTACCTTCTTCACAGATTAGAGGTCCCACAACATTCTTAATACTTTCATATCTCCGTTGACCGCCACTTAATATCTTAGTGATGGGTAAAGATGTTTTATCATAAATGTAGCCTCTGTCTCTCAGTCTGGCGTTATCATCTAGGGAAAACCAGACATATCTTGGTAGATCACATAAACATCTGAGATAAAAATTAAAATAGATTAAAATAAATTGTGCGTCGCGGCTTTATCTTGTATGTGGTGAAGGTCCGGAGGTAGAAAGAGTCAAGTCGTTCAAATGGAAATGTCAATTACCACATCCAGAAATTTACAGGATGTACACAATAGAGAGTCATCAACATTTGAAAACAGAAATAAGCTATGACCGCTGTCCCTCTTGCACTCTGTATGTTTTTCCCATTCAGATACACAGAAGTAGGGACGTTTAACGCATCTTAATTGCTCCAAACATGCTATACGTGTAGTTATCCGACTGAAGCAAGGCAATTCCGTCAATAAAATTCGCGTCCAAAGAATGACAAAATCGTGAGTAAAGATAGTACATTAGTGGACACCAAAGAGAAGTACCATCAGGTGTTTCGAAAAGAGTAAGTCAATTCTCCTTCGCGCGACACCCGCCACTTCTATTTAGGTAAACATTATGATAAACCGCTCCTCTCACTGGTAATAAGAGCTACTTTACTTCGTTCGAGTTTCTAAAATGGTAGAAATTTGTGATGTGGTGTAGGTGGGATTTCTTCAGAAGCTGCTAGATGTAAATCAGTTATCTGTTTCAGGTTTTAAACTTTTGTCTCAATCACGTACCGGAATTAGTAACATAGATAAGACCAATAACGTAAGACGATGATATCCCTTTAAATAATAAATATAAATACGACCTACTGGGTGTCATTGTCGGAACAGTTGTCCTCTAGAATACAAGAACAGGAATCTGAAGTGCTGTGGAAATTTCTTTTCTTGCCAGTGACATCCGACCATGTAAAGATATCATTATCATAGATCTTCCAGGACTGGTGGCAGGTTATTTCTACATACTGGTAACAATGGGTTGATATTTGTGTATATTTCTGTATAGACGAGAGACTGGCAGTGTATTCAAACACTCTGGTAACTTCCTCGTATGTAGAGTATGATGTATCTTCCATATTGTGGTGAAATACAGTCCGGATCTTATCATTCTCAAATAAACATGCCACTTCTACAGTTTCTACAGAGTAATAATGACAAAACGATTTCTATAGAGAAATCAAAAAACAGATAGAACCAGAGCCACACGTGGCACAGAGTGGGACTTAGCTAATGTGGCAAATTGTAAGAGACTGTGAAAAAATCAACCTTTTAGGTTAGTTAGGTAGCGTGCCAGAACAGTCTAAAATTCGTCCGTCATCACCATCATCGTATTGGCTGTCCATGTATGAAGAGAAAAAAAGGAATCAGCATTTCATGATACATTTTAATTACAACTGCAAGAAAATATCTTACCATTGTCGATATTGATATTATACTTTCCGCTTTCCGTCGCACCAACTGCTTGCCATGTAGCACAGGATGGTTGTGATTTACTAGTACAAGTTATCGGTTCATCTTCACCGTACAGACCGGGACAGTCCATAAACCCGTCACAGAACTGAGACTTGGGAATACAAGACGTATCATAACATTGAAATGTTGACTTGGGACAGATATCTGAAATAGAACGAAATTAATGACATTAAAATGATACAGCCGTCTTATCATTTCTTTTAACCAGTTGACAATGCTCTCTTTCAGCTGTGGGTATCACTTTTCATAGTCAAATTCAACTTGCAGTTCTCCTGCAATATTCTGACTGTCATATACAACTAATTACTGATATCTAACTGTAAAAGCTCTAATTTATGTCTAAAACACCTAATAACAATTGGAATAATGCAAACGTATGCTATCAGTGTCCTGATTCAAGACAACCACTTTCACAACCCCTTGAAGGTTTCTTACCACAACCCTGTTCATCTGATTGATCCAAACAATCTGGTATTAAATCACATCTTCTATCTATTGATATACACTGTCCTGAATGACATCTCCATGTGTTATTATTACAATTAGAATAAACTGAAATACAGAGTTGATATCTAATCATCCCATTGATTAATAGTTGTCTCCCTTTAATACACGAAATTATAATTTGGATCCTTTTTAATAAAATCTAACAGAAAAATACCTTTATGAAATTAACATCACCAATTCAATAGATTCACCATTGTATGAAATTTGATAATTCTTAATCAATAAACAAAGTACTAACTATCTGAACCCGAAACCCAAAACAGCATACTGGCGAAACATTGGTAGCAGCTTATTAACATGGGTTAGTAAATAAAAAAAAAATAGTAATAAAATGTGGTATCAGGTGTCTAGTAGAAAATGTCGATTCTTGTATGATATTTTGCTTGTTCTGTTGGTATTGATAAATTAAACGGTTGCTTACCACAGGAAATCTCGTCAGACGAATCTGAACAATGCGGAGTAAAATCACAGTAAAACAACATGTTGATACATTGTTTATTGTTACAAGTAAACATCGAGTCGGGACAGCGAGGGTCTGGAAATAAACAAAACAGATAAACATCGAGTCATGGCAGCGAGGGTCTGGAAATAAACAAAACAGATAAACATCAAGTCATGGCAGCGAGGGTCTGGAAATAAACAAAACAGATAAACATCAAGTCATGACAGCGAGGGTCTGGAAATAAACAAAACAGATAAACATCGAGTGGAGACAGCGAGGGTCTAGAAATAAACAAAACAGGTAAACATCAAGTCATGACAGCGAGGGTCTGGAAATAAACAAAACAGGTAAACATCAAGTCGAGACAGCGAGGGTCTGGAAATAAACAAAACAGATAAACATCAAGTCATGACAGCGAGGGTCTGGAAATAAACAAAACAGGTAAACATCGAGTCGGGACAGCGAGGGTCTGGAAATAAACAAAACAGGTAAACATCGAGTCGGGACAGCGAGGGTCTGGAAATAAACAAAACAGATAAACATCAAGTCGGGACAGCGAGGGTCTGGAAATAAACAAAACAGATAGACATCAAGTCGGGACAGCGAGTGTCTGGAAATAAACAAAACAGGTAATCATCAAGTCGGGACAGCGAGGGTCTGGAAATAAACAAAACAGGTAAACATCAAGTCGGGACAGCGAGGGTCTGGAAATAAACAAAACAGGTAAACATCAAGTCATGACAGCGAGGGTCTGGAAATAAACAAAACAGATAAACATCAAGTCATGACAGCGAGGGTCTGGAAATAAACAAAACAGGTAAACATCGAGTCGGGACAGCGAGGGTCTGGAAATAAACAAAACAGATAAACATCAAGTCGGGACAGTGGAGGTCTGGAAATAAACAAAACAGGTAAACATCGAGTCGGGATAGCGAGGGTCTGGAAATAAACAAAACAGGTAAACATCAAGTCGGGACAGCGAGGGTCTGGAAATAAACAAAACAAGTAATCATCAAGTCGGGA